TTTCAGGAGAGCAGCAGAGCTGGGAAAGCCCATTGTTAAGGCAATGGAAGATTGTGGCCATCAGCTGATCACAAGATAGAAGGTTGAGGTTTCTCCAGATTGCAACTCCCTTGGGCTGTGCTGTGAGCTAGTGAGAGCCTCTACTTTTTGGTTTAAAAGTGGTTGCAGGATGCTTTGCCCAGGGCATGGAAAGTCAACCTAGGTTTGATGGGGTTAGTCAAAGAGGTGAACTGGGTTTGATCCTAGTCATAGCCAAAAGAGGGGGAGGTTATAGTCTCTGTTTTGCTTGTTAAATTTGTTTTCTCCATCACGAGTAAAACTAAGAATAAGCAAATTAAGTACACCCAGAGAACTTCTCATAAAACAATGTGTTCCTGTTGCCCTACCCCAATCAGTAAGAGCTGACTCCAAATTCAGACAGACACTTTTTTTCCAATATTGCTGTCTGGCCATACATAAGCAGAATTGGAAAGATTCTCAGGGGCCACATCACTAATACTCTTTTAATGCCCAATATAATTACTTTACCCTACTGAACATACAGCTTCTGCTTTAAATCTAATAAAAAATAATATTTTTCTTCTTCATTTTCTGGAGGCTTAATATAACGAGGGTTGTTGATTTTTTTCAACATGTTCCTATGGCATTTGGATTCCTGATTCATCACTTTTGTCATTATCCACCTCTTACGGTGAGTGGATCTGCCATAAGTGGGATATAGACACAGTTACTTTACTGCCTGGAGAGAAGATTCTTAGTCTGCATGTACTTTAGACTGAAAAAGTAGGAAACAAAACAGTTAAACATGTTTAAAAGTAGAAAAATGTTGCTTTAATGAGCTATTTTTAACTCGTATATTTGCCTTTCAAATTTCGTTAATAGGATTAAAAACTATATGAGGGAGCTGAGCAAGTCAATTTGATGGGACGTTCCTTCGTTTTCATTGGAATATTTTTCCTATTGGAATCAGAAATATTAAACTTTGGATCATTTTCATAATGAAACTCAAATCCAACTAAATTCTGATTATTATTTTTCTATTAAGATATAAAATGAAATTTTCAGCATCAGCAACAATGATGCTTCATAACAGCAGGTGCCAAACCTTTAACCCCAACTATCTTTATGATTTCACATTTTTCAGTGTTTATGTTATTGGATTAAAGGAAATCAATAGTTCGCAAATAAATAATTGTTTTGAAAGAGGGAAGCTTAAAGCTGGATTTTCTAAAGAAATTGTTTTCTTACTTTTAATACTTGTCAGAATTTCATAGAAAATACTCCCACGGGACTATATTCTGCAGAAAAAAATGGGCTTCTGTTCCTCTAGTTAATTTATAGGGTGTAGTAAAATTAAAGGTAGCCACTTTTACATTATTGTGAAGGCAGGGAGTGCTGTACTTTCTTTTTTTCAAATAGGCATCACTCCATAATTGTGTATCTTCCCCGGCTATCCAATTTGAAGAAATTCCCGTGGGAGCATTTTCTTATAATTTTATGGAAATGTGGGAAGCCAGAGAAGTTACAGACATCCAGAGAAATGATTGGAAGTGAAAGATCAGAGATAAGAAGAGATTGGACAGCCATTTGTCTGAAATGGTATAGGTCTCCTGCTTGAGCAGGGGCTTGAACCAAGAAAACCTCCGACTTTCAACTCTGCTATTCTATTATTCAGATACCTACGTGCATCCTGGCCTTCTCATACAGATAGTCCTCAACTTACAACAGTTCATTTAATGACCATTCGAAGTTACATTGATATTCGAAGTTACCTTGATTATCACTAAGTGTTGTACCTTATGATTTTTGATGAATGTATTTTATTCTCCTTATGTACACTGAGAGCATATGCACCAAAGACAAATTCCTTGTGTGTCCAATCACAATTGGCCAATGAGGAATCTATTCTATTCTATTCTCTATTCTATTCTACAATGTCACTGAAAAAAGTGACTTACCATCATTTGTCACACTTATAACCGTTGCAGCGTCTCCATAGCCATGTGATCAAAATTCAGATGTTTGGCAACTAATTCATATTTATGACGGTTGTAGGGTCCCGGGGTCATGTGATCCCTTTTGGAGAACTTCTGACAAGCAGTCAATGTGGAAGATGGATTCACTTAACAACCGTGTCACTAATTTAACAACAGTAGTGATTCACTTAATCTGTGAATCTGTGGCAAGAAAGGTCGTAGAATTCACTTAACAATTGTCTCACTCGGCAACAGAAATGCTGGGCTCAATTGTATGTCGAGGACTACCTGTAACTAGGAGGAGTGCAGCTCCACAACTGAACCCTAACAATAATGTCACCTTTTCACTTCTTCTTTGAGGAAAGAAAATTAAAAGCTGTTGCTTTTACATCAAATGGAGTTAGAACAGACGGGGTGGGAAAGATACCTTTTTGATGCACAAGGACATATGTTGCGGCCCTCCATTTTCCCCCACACAGTAGAAGCCGGGTCTTTTGCCACATAGGCCTTTCCATCCTTGCATTGAAGCCTCACACCTAACACTCCTTCCTCACTGGGCAGAAGCTACTTCAAGGGAGACTGGAAAGTCTAGCTTATCCTGTCGTCTCCGGAAATGGAAGCCGTTTAATGGAAGGCAGGGGCCAGTTGTGGAGGGAGTGGGGGGGGGGGAACGTACAAGCCAACTAAGCTTCAGAGCTGCATACTAACTGGGAGATGAAAGAGCTAGAGGCCTTCTGAAGTATGTGCTGTCTCAATGATTAATGGGGGTGAGGGAAGGGTGAGGCCCAGCCCTTCGTATACTACAAGATGGCAAAGTGATTCTAAGAACAACAGAGCAGTGTTCATGGAGGAGAGCTAGGCTGCCTTCGCCAAGAAAATCTCCTGGTGCGGTTTTTAAAAGTCTCTTTATTTCCAGTATCAAAACACTACATTAAAATAGATGCCAGAGAGTCAAGCGATCATTAAAAATAAACCAACAGTAGTGTATAACGTGCAGCGAAAGTGTGGCTCGCAGCAGCCGGTCAGTTCTCCTCCTTCTGACGCATTCTTTCAATTCTGCTTTTGGATAGTGAGACAATGACCCCAGCTTGCAGCCATTCGCTCAGCCAAGAATCCCAGGACAGCAGGTAGAGTCTATGTTTGGCATCGCTGTTTCACCAGTGATGTTTGCGTGAGTTTCTTTTAAGGTATTTAAAATACAGACTTATAGTTTTAGATTTTACAAGGTGCTTTAGGAAGGCCTTGTTCTCCACAGGAATGGAATATTCTCTCTCTCTCTCTCTCTCAAAAACAAAATGGGCCTTTAAGGTTAAGTTGGTTTGGAACAGAGTTGACTGCTTACATCCTAGGCACTTAAGGTCAGCTGGCTTGGGGAGAAAAGAGGAGGGGGAGGTAGGAAAACATACAACCAGCTATCTCTGCTGCAGAAGCATTAGTCTTGTCTGAAGATGTTTATAGGAGGCAGATCATAACAAAACAGTAAAGTAGGGTTTAAGAGGCTAGTCTAAACTCTGTTGGGGTTTTTCATTTTACCTGGGGGAATTCTCAGTAAAAAGGGACGCGGTGGCTCAGTGCTAAGGCGCTGAGTTTGTTGATCAGAAAGGTCGGCAGTTCAGCAGTTCGAATCCCTAGCGCCGCATAACGGAGTGAGCTCCCATTACTTGTTCCAGCTTTTGCCAACCTAGCAGTTCGAAAGCATGTAAAAATGCAAGTAGAAAAATAGGGACCACCTTTGGTGGGAAGGTAACAGTGTTCTGTGCACCTTCAGCATTTAGTCATGCCAGCCACATGACCATGGAAATGTCTTCAGACAGTGCTGACTCTTTGGCTTTGAAACGGAGATGAGCACCGCCCTCTAGAGTCGGGAACGACTAGCACATATGGGCGAGGGTAACCTTTAACTTTACCATATGCACATTTCTTTTTTCGTATTGTCCTACACTCCCCTTCCTTTTTGATTG